GTGGTGAAGGAGGAGGAGGAGGATGAGGAGAAGGTGGTGGTGGAGGAGGAGGAGGAGGAGGTGGTGGTGGAGGACGAGGAGAAGTTGGCGGTGGAGGAGGAGAAGGAGAAGGAGGAGGTAGTGGAGGAGGAGGAGGAGAAGGAGGTGGTGGTAGAGAAGAAGGAGGAAGAGGAGGTGGTGGCGGAGGAGAATGAGAATGAGCAAGAGAACGAGCAAGGAGATGGATAACAAGAAGGAGAAGGAGAAAATGTAGGAGAAGGAATAGGAGAGATACCTTTAGTGTGATACTATTGACAATTCTTTTAGCCAATTGATTAAGATCATCTTCAGGATCAACCGAGAGATTTAATAATGCCTACAACATGATAAAATAACATTAAAAATAATTAAGTTACAACCTGAACCTTCAAAGGTGTAGATTGCAGAGTATTCTAAAGGGTCCGTATCAGGTCATGCATATTGAACATTAATGCTCTACTAGTATGGAATGAATCCACATCAACATTAAGTAAGCAAGCCTTACACCAATATATTACATGCTTACCTTCCAAACATTTGCATACACGTTGGACTGAAACGTTGAAGATAATGATGACGTGGACGGAGTTTGGCGCATATCTTTTACTGCACTGATATCTTGGCTGTTGTTGGAGCTTCCACTACTGCTGCTGAAGTTAGCTGAAGCTTCTTTCCCTGATAAACAAAACAGCGTTAAAGCAAATTTGGAATGGCTGTGGAAATTTCTGTCAGTAAACACAAAATCAATCTACCCACCCCTGTAAGTAATCCCAAAACCAACCCACCCCACTCCTATCAGTAAGCATAGAACCAACCCACCCCACTCCTATCAGTAAGCATAGAACCAACCCACCCCACTCCTATCAGTAAACATAACATAAACCCAACCTTGTCAGTAAACACAAAATCAACTCACCCCACCCCTATCAGTAAAAATTTAATCAACTCACCCCACCCCCATAAGTAAACTTAAAATGTCTTCTACCCAGTCAACGTACTAAAAATCACCCTCCCACCCCTTTCAGTAAACATAAAATCAACCCACCCCAACCCCCCTTCAGTAAACTTAAAATGTCTTCTACACAGTCAATGTACTAAAATCACCCTGCCCCACCCCTATCAGTAAACAAAGCAATCCTCAAAATCTCCCCYAACCCCCCCCCCCCCCTGAAACATACATGCACTTAATTGAGTTGAAGAGAAGCTGGTTCTAATCCCAGTGGCAGACGACTTGCGGGAAGAAGGGCTACTCTGCTGCAAGTGATGAATGTCTTGAAAGGGTGGTACACTACCTCCAGAGGAGGGGCTTGACCCAGAACCCACCACTATCCACCCAGTAGATGTAATGGCAGCTGCTGGAGGAGCGTTCTCCTTCTGCATATCTTCTTCTAGGAATTGTAAAGCTATAACACCAAAATTGGTCTCGTATTGTATTACAATTCCATGCAACGCTACAACCAGTTCCTGAAAATATAGTGAGATCAAAATTTTAAAAACCTGATTAGAAAGAAGAAGACTATATGTAAGAAAAAGGCACACTGTCCAGTCTACACTATCACCTGATGAAGACTAGCAGTTTGCAGTCGAAATATTGCAGTCCTCTACGAATAACCCTCAATCGTGAGACAAATGAATCATCATTCATTACTACTTTTCCACGATGAATAACATTTTCATTCTGGTGCCATTTTCATAAAAATTTGAACTTGGTAGCTGTCAGCTGCACGCTGAAATTTGTTTTTTTCGCTGCCGTCAGTCAAAAATATGAAAGGTACCTACTGATTAGGTTTGATTGATGAAAGCGAAAAATTACATTTCAGTGTGCAGCTGGCAGGCACAAAGTTTGCATGTTTATGAAAATGGCAGTAAAGATAAAATTGAATAGTTATTTTAAAATTCATATGGCAAATGTGGTAAATGGCAACAATGGCACAAATAATCCATTAGTTTTTGTTACCTTTCGAACCAGCGGACTGCCATCTTGGGCTAGCTGTGTTAATGTCATGGCAACGCCAAAGTCTATCTGGTTGGCGTGGTCAGATCTGTCACCCGTGTTTCCAATGAATGTACCAAGTGCATAGACAGCAGCTGCTCGAACCTAATAAGTAAAGGTATACATCGTCAATGCAAATGCTCTAACTCAATGGCTAACTCACAGAATGATAGAACCCTGAAACAACCTCTGGCTGATCTAAGTCATGGCATGGCTAACTCACAGATAGAACCCTGAAACAACCTCTGGGCTGATCTAAGTCAGGGCACGGCTAACTCACAGATCAAACTCTGAAACAACCTCTGTGCTGATCTAAGTCAGGGCATGGCTAACTCAGAGTAAGAACCCTGAAACAACCTCTGTGCTGATCTAAGTCAGGGCATGGCTAACTCAGAGATAGAACCCTGAAACAACCTCTGGGCTGATCTAAGTCAGGGCATGGCTAACTCAGAGATAGAACCCTGAAACAACCTCTGGGCTGATCTAAGTCAGGGCATGGCTAACTCACAGATCAAACCCTGAAACAACCTCAGGGCTGATCTACAAAGTCAGGGCACGGCTAACTTATAGATAGAACCCTGAACAACCCTCTCATATGCAGAGGCAAAAGGAAAGCAGTTACAGCATAGCAAAGGAGAATGATGATGAAACCATAGTCTTACTATAAATAGAGTCTGCAATAAATCCTAGCACTAGATGATGTAAAGCTGATAGTCCTTGTGACTTAACCTACCTCTGGTAAAGGATCAGACAGCAAACAGTAGAGTTTTTCTGGTGCACTGTCTCGAACGCCACACCAACGGGCTGAGTCATAATTTTCCCACACTTTAGCCAAACACACAGCAAGCCATTGCCGAAGCAGGGGGTGGGGGTCAGTCAGTTGTTCGAGGCAGATGGCAATTAAATTTCCTTGAAGACATGCTTCCTATTCGATACAAATGATTATTAAAAAGATATTAAAAAGAATGACTCAGACTGAAACATGCGGGGAATGGAACATGAGCTGTGACAAGTCCGAGTTAGACTACAGTCAATCAAATGAATCAACACCGCAGGGTTTTCATGTATTTTTACACAGGTGTACTCTAAGGGCACTTTTCTCAGAGTTGGACCGATAGGTATGAAAAGCAAGTTCTCAAAAGGTATGTGTCAGGCCGATTTTGGTCAAGTTGGTCCAGTTCTAAAAACTGATGCACACCACTTTAAAACTAGCCGCTCAGACCAATGGGTTTGGCTTAATGAAAAGTGCCCTGACAATGTACTTAATAGCGACCTTTAGATACGACAACAAGTATGAGATTGAGTACAAATTTTAAAATTGGTCCTGTGCTCGTGGTTAACACTAAATCGTAGTCGATTTTACAATCTACAGTTTCAATCTACGTACATGATCAAGACTACAAAAAGATAGTGCCTCTCTTTAAAAGTTAAACACTCATACTCATTTTCGTACTCCTCGTTGGATCTAAAGGTCTCGAATAATTGAAAGTAGACTACACTTAAGTACTCTAAAGGAGCTTTCCATAAGGTCAAACCAATTGGTTTGAGCAGCCAGTTCTCAAATAATATGCGTCAGTTCTTAGATCTTAGTTCATAGGCTTCAGGCATTTCCTTCTTTCCAAAATTATATATTTAGCTTTATTTATTTGACCAAATAAGTATTTTCTTTCTTTTCAATGATCTAAAATATATATCAAAACTGCAAATTTACATAAAAGGAAATGTGAATAAAGATGTATTGTAAAGATGTATTGTAATCTTGTATAGAAATGATGGAGAAGCTGGTTTTTAAGATACTGCTGCAAGGGTTCTCAGAATGATGGAGAAGCTTAGTTGTTGTAAGAGTTTGGTATTTTTTTCAGTAAGAATAGATTGCTATTCACTCACCTGACCACTGCGATAGTTATCTATGATTGTCGAGAGAACAAATGCTGCCATTGTTCTGTGTTCAGCCTGAAAATAAAACAATAGAATTTAGTAACTAATTAAAGAAAAATCCTGTATCAAAATCTAATCGGATTCACCTCTCCATGGTGGACAGAAAGCATGGGTGGTGTAGTGGTGAGAGCACTTGCCTCATATCAATGCAACCCAGGTTTGAGTCCAAGCGAGTTGTTTGTGAGTTGAGTTGTTTGTTGGTTCTCTCCTGTGTAGTATGTGAGTAGAGTTGTTTGTTGGTTCTCTCCTGTGTAGTATGTGAGTAGAGTTGTTTGTTGGTTCTCTCCTGTGCTTCGAGGGTTTTTCTCTGGGTTCTCCTGTTTTCCTCCCTCCACAAAATCAACTACTAAATCCTTTCGCACTCACTGATGAGAATAAATTAGTGTTTAAAGCCTTTAGAACAGGTTTTTCAACCCACTTGATACTGACCCGGAGGATGAACAACAACAGCTTTTAAACTGAGGGAGGCAAAATTCTAGCCCCGCGCACACCATATGTGAATTGCATTTGTTTGACAAGTTATTCTCCTCTATGCTACAGGGTTTTATCCAGGTTTTATAAGCGTCACGTGCATAGAACATTGAATGTAGTGGTAGTGTGTGTTCACGGGTATAGTGTCCCAATTAGTGCAAAAACGCTAGAATGACTAGACTCTTAAATAAGAAGATTTTTATATTAACAGGTACTAACCGGCATGTACGGGTCTGCTAATACAGACAGAAAATACTTATGGCCACTGTCCTTGACAAGATCTGACTGACAAGACTGAAAATGAAAAAATAAAAATAAAACAGGGTTTTGCAGGATGCAATTAAATCCATTCTCTACTTTCACATCCCCATAATAC